GTTTAGTAAAGGTTTGATTGCAGCTGCCCTGAATGCCTGTGGTCCTATTTTTACAGTAAAAGAAAGAATCAAAGAGGGCAGGTTGTTTTCATTTGTGTCACTGCAGAGTGCCAAGTATTCAGCCTGTAACATGCTGATTATGTTCTTCAAAAGTCAGAATAAAGAAACTGCTTCTGCAGCAGCTAGTCAAAGGAAGTAGTAGGGGCTTTGTGTCTCCAGCCTAAAAGTAGAAGCTTAAACAGTTTGTTTCCAGGATACATGGAGTTTGCAGAGATATTAGCTGCTTTTTTCCTAATCCTATGTGTGCAAATCCAGGATGAAGTGCTGGTAGTAGAAAGTACAGACTAAAGACAATTATGGCATATGCATTGTATTGATCTATCATATCAGGAATGTCATAATTGTGTTATAAAATCATGTTTTCTTTTGTGTTGCAGTGTCTGATTTGAGGATTGTGCTATTGGGAAAAAGTGAGGAAAAAATGACTAAACTTGGTAACTTGATCACTGGAGAGCAGGACTTTCATCATCAAAAAACTGTCCGAACCAAACACTGTGTGGCCTCCTGTGGAGAGTGGAATAAAAAACAAGTGACTGTAGTAAAAACTCCAGACATGTTAAGTTTGTCTGAGGAGGAAATCAAAAGACAAGTGAAGAACTGTGTGAGACTCTGTTCTCCTGGACCAAATGTTCTGCTGCTGTTGGTGAAACCTTCAGAATTTACTGAAAAAGACAGAGAAACACTGATGTTTATCCTGAGTTTGTTTGGTCAAGATGCCTTAAAACATTCAATGGTCATCTTAACGAATGACAGTGAAAAAAATTCATCTATCAATGAGCTCCTCAGGCTGGTGGAACAAAGATGCTACAAGATGAATGATCATCACCGCAGTCTGTTAATGAAGAAGATTGAGAAAATCATGCATGAAAACAAAGGGACATCTCTGACCTACAGAGAGTTCAAAACTTCATTAAACCTGGTTCTGTTTGGAAGGAGAGGAGAAGAGAAATTCTCAGCAGCCAAGGCCATTCTAGGTCAGACAGATCTTCCTTCAGCCTCCAGCTCATTTTAGTGTGTTAGAAACCAGGGAGAGGTTTGTGGACGTTGGGTTTCTCTGGTGGAGCTGCCTGCCTTGTGTGGAAAAGCTCAGCAGGAAGTGATGGAGGAATCATTCAGGTGTATCTCCCTCTGTGATCCTGAGGGTGTTCATGCCTTCATCCTGGTCCTACCTGTGGGTCCCCTCACTGATGAAGACAAGGGAGAGTTACAGACCATCCAGGACACATTCAGCTCTAGAGTCAATGACTTCACCATGATCCTGTTCACTGTGGACTCAGATCCTACAGCTCCACAAGTGGTTAACTTTGTAAAGGAGAACAAGGACATCCAGGAGCTCCTTCAGAGATATGGAGGAAGACATGTTGTTCTCAACATCAAGGAAGAAAATGAGTTATCCAAACTTTTTGATCGTCTACAAGAAGTAGTTATGCAGAAAACATGGCTCTATTCAACTAAAACATTTATGCACGCCCAAAGTGAAAGGATCACTGAACTAGAGGCCAGGCTCAAAGACCTACAAGTAAAAGAGGTTACCAGTGGTAAGTATGAAACTGTTTGTACATGCTTTTACTTTACTTTGTTATTCATACAGTTTCAAATACATCAACGTCGTACATCAGATACCTGTAAGTCTGACTTAAAAAAATCATCCTTTTTTAGATCATGAAGAGAAACAAAGCTTGGACTGTCTCCGGATTGTTCTGATTGGAAAGACTGGAAGTGGAAAGAGCTCATCAGGAAACACCATCCTGGGAAGACCAGTGTTTAAAGCTGATTTAACTCCAGCATCAGTCACTAGGCAATGTCAAAAAGCCAAGAGTGAGGTGAATGGTCAATACGTTTCCGTTGTTGACACTCCTGGACTGTTTGACACATCCATGTCCAATGATGAGGTCAATGATGAGATGTCAAAATGCATCAGTCTTCTGGCTCCAGGTCCACATGTCTTCCTGCTGGTGTTGAACATTGGCAGATTCACAGCAGAGGAAAAGGAGACATTAACAATCATTAAGAGGGTTTTTGGGAAAAATTCAGAAAGGTTTGCTATCATTCTTTTTACCAGAGGAGATGATCTGGAACATGCTAACAAATCCATTGAAGATTATATTGAAAATAACCCTGATCAATCATTGAGGAAATTGATCAGTGATTGTGGGGAAAGATACCATGTGTTTAACAACCGGAATAGTCAAAATAAAACACAAGTAAGTGAGTTGATAACAAAGATCCACAAAATGGTAAAGGAAAATGGAGGAAGCCACTACACCAATGAAAATCTGCAGGAGGCAGAAGCATCCATTCAGAAAGAAATGAACAGAATTCTTAAAGATAAGGACGATAAGATAGAGGAGCTTAAGAGAGAAATAAATGAAATTCAAAGACGAACCAGGGAGGAAAGACTGAAAATTGACGAGGAAAAGGACCAGAGAGAGAAAGAACTGAAAGACCTGCAGGAAAACATTAACAAAGAGTGTAAAAGGAGAGAGAAAGAACAAGAGGCCAGAGAAAAAGAAGACAAGATGAAGGAAGAACAGGAAGTGATGAAAAAGAACGCACTGCAGCAAAAAATAATAGAACTGGAGAAAAAACTTCAAACAGAGTCAAACCTGAAAGAAACAATTCAAAAAGACTTGGATCGAATCAGAGAGGAGGTGAAACATCTGCAAGAAACCTGGGAGAAGGAAAGAAAGGAATTAAGAGACAAACGGAAACAAGAAGATGAAAAGAACGAAGAGAATATTGAGAAGCTTCAGGTGCAATATGAACAGAAAAGGGAAATTTCTGAACATCAAGCAATAGAGGAGGATAGAATCAGAAGAGAGCAGGAAGAGGAGTGGAAGAACTCTGAGGAGGAGTATAAGAAAAAAATCCAGGAGCTGGAGTCAGAAATGGAGAAGTTGGTAGAGGAGGCGAGAGAAAAAGCCGAAGAATGGAACGAATTCAGACAAAGAAAGGACAGAGACTTTGCATCCATGATAGAAAAACACATGGAAGAAGTGAGGAATCTAAAGAAAGACCTGCAAGAGAAACAGGAGGAATATGAACAATTAAAGGATCTGTCAGAACACAAAGAAACTAGTCTGAAGCAGAAAATGGATGAACTGCAGAACAAACACAAAACAGAATTGGCTGATTTAGTCCTGGGGCTGCTGACTGAAAGGAAACAAAACAAAGAACAATTACTAAAGATGGAGGAAAGGCAAAGAAAAGATGTAGAAAATCTCACCAACCGTCTTTCAAATGAAAATAGAAAAAAAGAGAGGGAAGAAATTGAAAACTTAAAGAATAACCAGAAAAGAGAAATGAAGAACCTTGAGAATTTATTCCAACCTAAAGATTTAACGATGGAAAGGAAAAGGCTGTCCATCAAACACGACCAAGAAATTAATGAATTAAAACTCAACCTGCTGAATGACCATCAACAAAACCTAAATACTCAAGTGGAAAAGCTGCAGAGAGAACACGAGGAAAAACTGGAGCAATTCAAGCAACAGCTTCTGAAAGAAAACAAAGATAATGAAAAAACAGAAATGAATAAATTGCAAAAGAAACATGAAAAGGAAATGAATGAACTAAGACAACTTCTTCTGGATGAAGATGAAGTCGAGAAAAGGGAACAATTTGATGCTCTGCAGAAAAAACATGAGAGGGAAATGAATGAGCTGAAAGGAAGGATTCTGTCTCCAAAGGAGCAACAATCCTGCAGCATCTCATGAAAAATCGTTGGTCGTAAAGTGATAGCACCATGAATACTTAAATATCTAAGCACAATTTAATATCTCTGACATTATTGAGTTCTCTAAGGTTGACCTCCCCTTTTTTTGCTAAACAAAAACAAATACGGTAAATCCAAATGAAAGTAGTAGTAACGGCTCATAATGGACAAAATATGTTCATACCTCTGCAGAAATACTGGCTTGGCTTCAATAAGACTTTTCAATGCAATGAAATTCAAAAGTACTTTATTAATCCCAAAGGGAAATAAAATGGATATTCTCTCTAATGAAATACCAAAAAACCAGAAAAAAAAGAATAAGCTTAAATGAGGAAGTTTTAGAGCAGCGGTTTTGAATTTTCTCCATTACCATTAACGATAGTGTTATCGTCCGTGTTATTTCACCTCTATGAGCAGCTTAAGCCTTGCTCTCTCCTGGGTGGGTCCTGAAAACCATTTATGTTTCATTTCTTTGGAATCAGTAACATGTCTGGGTTGGTGTAACTGATTTAGGCCAATTTGTGTGAACCTACAGCCCTTTTTAGGTTCTCTGCATTCTCCCATCTTCAGAGTATGACTGTGAAAGGTAACCGTTTATTGTGCCAAGAGATCCAACATTAATCTTTATCACCAACAGGAAATTAAAAGGGTTCAGCTTTGTCAGCTTAGTAGAAACAAGATTTAAAATATTTAATCTATCCAAACCTCCAACCTTCATGTATGATTTAAACTGGTTGACCTGAGATCATATGATGTAGAATTATCTCAAAATGAACATGATAATAATGGTGGATCAGTATAATTAAACAGTCGACTGGGTATAAAACATGTCCTTTTCACGCCATGTATGTGTGTATGTATATGTTGTAGATAAAAAGGAGTTAGGTATTTGCTAGATCACATTGGTTACCTTTACCATCCATCATTGGATGCTGCTTTTCAAAATCCACACGCCTGTTAAAGCTGAATCTCATGCTGTCTTTGCAGATGCTAATTAGCATTGGCTGTTTCATTCATTAAGCTGCTTTGATTTTTAAATATTAAAGCTGGATCGCAGCTCTTTCACTGGAGACTGGAATGTCTTTTTTATTGGTCTGCAGAAAAATGGGATCAAATCTGTTGTTTCAGACGGCTTGTGTCAGAAAAGGTGCTTCTTCATTCTGTGGCGTTTTTATGAACAAAATCCATGTGAGATGGTTGTCAGGTTAGTTATAACTGAGGCATCATTATTTGTTTTTCATCTTTAATCTAGTTGAAAATATTTTTACTTTTCTTTTTTTTAACCACAATCTAAGAGGTGTCATTTTTGTTTTTTTGTTTTCTTAAACATGAAAATAAATTTTTTTAACATTTTCTCACATCTGGAATTTTTTTCTTGCTCTAAGTTTTCTCTCTCAGTATTTTAATGTCTGTGATCTACCAACATGATTGCCTTTATTTTCTTCCCATCGGATTTGACCTTTTAAACATGATAATCTGCATTAACCTTCAGGTTTCCTTAGTTTCAGTCGGCATCTCTCATGTTGATGCCATGTTCCGATCATCACACCTTTAACTAAAGACTCATGAGCTAATCTATTTCTAGTGCGATTCAATTCATTTCTACCTCTGCTTGAGTTAGAAAATGGTCTGTTACTGATTAACACCATTTTTTTTCACTACATTTATTTTAGTGTTTCCTAAATACAGAAATTTGCCACTGAGATGACTTTAGTTTTGTGTATTTTTCAACAAAGTTAAACAACTACATGCACATCTTTTGAGACTGAGTCCATCCTTTTTGCCAGGTGTTACAATCTGCCCAAACTTGTTCGGTCTACTGTGACATGAGTACAAGAACATGTCTATTTGACGTGCTAAAGCATTTTATCTGGTCACTAGTAGAGAATGAGACCACAGATATAAAAGCATTTGTCCAGACAGTATATTAGCACAAAGACTAACACCAAAGGTGATGAACAGAACTGTTATTCTAACTAAAGCTGCAGATCTACAAAATAATGGCAGGAAATGGATCCAGATGTTGCAATGGTCTAGTCAAAGTCCAGATCTTATCCTGACTAAGATGGTGTGGTAGGACCTTCAGAGAGAGCTGCACAGAGTGAATGACTGGAGACGGCAATTAACTGAGGGAATGTTTGAGGGAATAGATGACCTAAACACCTGGATGATGTCAGAGTTCACTGCTGAGGATCTTAGTCATCGTGCTTTTTTACAGACTGCTTCTGCATGTTTCATTTAATTACATTTCATTAAATCATATTTCATTAGATTTAATTTCAGCACCATTTGCTCTTGAGATTAAAATAATTACAGGGAACTCATTCTTCCTAAACATGCCTAATTTTCATGTTTGACAGCTACGCTTGGAAAGTTCAGTTTAGGCAACTGGACATGAAGTTTTCTACAAGATGTTTTGCTTCAGGGAAGCCTTAATAAGAAAAACGTCTTCTAGAAAACTTCGGTTCCAGTTGCCTAAACTGAGCTTTCCAAGCCTGATCATGACCTGGATGACTGAGAATCTTCACAGATATATTGACAGTTCCCTTTCCTTAGTGATGATTCATGAAGCCCAATGAAGCATTTTGACATATTGGCAAACTGTATTGATCTTGTCACTGAATACTGACACCTGCTGGACATTTAAAATCACTACAGGCAGCTTCTGACAGACTAAGATGACATTTGTTGACCTATAATATTATTTAAAGGGTAACGCCGTTTTTTTTTTTTTGTTTTTTTTTTTTCCTACATTGGGCTCTTGATGTCACGTTATTACATCATGTTCTACTCACCTATATGAGTTTTTTGTCATTTGGATCCCCAAAGATATTCCGTTAGGTTATATCAAAGTAACGTCTTCCTATGGGCAACAAGTTGAAGGCACAAACTAAACTGTTCATAATTTATTCTTTATGCTACGCCAGCATTCAGAACATGTAGGCGAATCACGTAAAATCAAGGGCCCTATGTAAAAAAAAAAACAGTCATTCAGTTTCCACTAAATGAATCTGTGGGAAATGTTGGATCAGTCCTGTAGTAAAAAAGACACAGCTTTCAAAAACAGGCCTCTGCTGTCAGGTTTGATCTGGCAGTCATAAAGGCACTCCTTTATCCGGTCGAAGGTAAACTAATCTGAACATCGGTGCTTTCTGTTTTCAACCAGTCAGGAAAGAAGCAGCTGACGGTGAGTACAGTAGCTTATTGTTTCTGGAACTTATAGCAGACAGACGGTTAAAGATTCAGGATTCTGTCAGAACTCTAATAAACCCTTAATCAGATGTTCTGACTATCTAGATTAATTAAAGACGTTAAATGACGAGTTGAAGCTGAGCTGCATGGATCCCAGCCTAAGTTTACACAGACACAGCTGTTCAACAGCTGGATGTATGAAACAAAACAGATTTAGTCTTTGACCTTCAGATCAGATGAGTAATTTCTAAAGGATCAGTTAAATGCAGACAAACAGCAAGAAATCTCCATTAAAAGGAAAAACTGGAGTTTGATTGAACTTTGCAGGAATAAGAAAGGCAGAAAACGTTTCTAATGCAACTTCTAGTTTAGTTTATTGCTGTTTTAAAACAAAACTTTTAAAAATTGCAAGAAAGAAAATTAAACATTTAGAACAAAAACTTTCCTGTAGCGATTTTAGAACATTATTATTATTACTATATAACATGTTTTCCNCCACTGATGTCTTAGATATGTTGACATTATTCTTCATTAGTTCTGATGTTTAGCTACTGAGTTAATTAACAGTAAGAGCAACAATCTAATGTCCATTTACATTTAGAATAATGTATATTAAAAAAATCACAGCCTACTTTCATTTCATTGAAATTTAAAATGATTTGATCAATTCAGTTATTTGGCGAATATTATTAAAAAGCAAATTTTGGAAGAAAGTGAAGAAGGTGGTGAAAACAACAGAGAAAATGATGGGGACTCATCTTCCCTCCATTAAAGACATTTCATCCCAGCGCTGCGTGTCCTGAAGATGAGCCCCTCACCCCCCACCATAAACTGTTCTCCCTGCTGCCCCCTGGGAAGAGACTTCGAAGCATCTCATACAGGCCAGCAGATTATGCAACAGCTTCTTCCCCACTGCCACCAGACTGCTGAATGTTTTCTAATATGGAGTTATAAAAAAAAGGGGGGAAAAAAACTCTGAATGTTGAAAAATAATATACAGTCATATGTTTACATTCATCACTGCTCCTTACCTTTTATCACTACTGCACGTTAAAAAATAAGATGTCCTGAGAGTTGTACTGAACGAAATTTCTTTTTGTAAACACTCTGTGTACAAAATGACAATAAAGTCTGTCTAAGTCTAAGTCTTCCTTTGGGAACAAATTTTCAAGATTTATTCCACAGAGACTGATGTCTTATCGTTTTCTTTTTTAGTTAGGATGAATTTCTGCTTTCTCTTGATGTTAGACAAAAATATCAAATCCAAGCAAAAAAAAAAATTAAAGAAATATTACAGAAATATGGGTTTAATGAAAAATACATTCAATACCTGCTTAAAGGTTGTTATTTAAGAAGACACTTTTATTCAGACAGGCCTCATTGGAACCCCATTCTCATCCAGTGGATAAGATTGTAGATGATGGTGGAAATGTCATTAAATAAATAAATAAAAAAATGTTTTGATTAGATGATACTTCATGACAACAGACAACTATCATCACCCAGGAATAAAATAAATGTTTGGTTTTAACGGATTAGGAAGCTGAGAATGTATCTTAAACAGTAGCATTATTTTTTTCACAATTCTATTTTTATAATTTCATTTTTCAGATCTTTGTATGACAAAACATTTTTAAATCTATGAAATACGTCTAAAAGCAGAATTAATATGGCTGAATTAATCATTTATGTCATGAAAAGCTACATTTTTTTTATCAATTAAAACATCTTAATTAATGCCTCCAGTTTTACCTGATTGTGTTGATTGTAAATCAGTATTTCAGACTTTCTTTATGATTAGATGATTTCATGATTGCTGATCTGTTTCTTATAACTTAACTATTGCACTTTTTCATGTCTGTAACCAGGATCCAATCAAAATAGTGTTTATCATTGTCAGAGGTTTTGTAATTTGCTGTTATTGCATTAATACACAGAACCTGTGTGAATCCCTGCATAGAGGAATGTCTGACTTGTTCATGTCAGTATTTGGATCCATCAGTATAAAAATCTCAGAGGTGATACCCAAACAATAGTGAGCCAGCCCTTTATAAACTGTATCCACTGAAACTGGTTTAGTTTTAGGTTACCAAGCAACTGAATTAAATCATTTGGGTTTTAAATCTGATCTGAAATTAGGATTTAACTTCCTGTTTAATTTCAACATAAAACCCACTGCCTGGCTGATTTAATATCTGTTCTCATCTGTTTTTATTTCCATTAGGAAATCAATTATTTAAAAAGCCTCTCATATACATGTAGATGTAACCTCTTAGATCAGTGGTGTCAAAACTTACTACTGATTAACAGAGTAAGGTCAAAAATACTTGCAGGCCTAAAATTTAAGAAAAAGTAGGCTTGGCTATTTGGATGCTATTTATAATCAGATTGATAAATTCTGAATTTTAAATTTCTATTTAGAAATAGGATTGGTAAATACATTTTTTTTTTATTCCTGTATTTAATGATGGATTAATAAAAACAATTTACAATTATTCTACTTAAATGTTTTCAGGATTTAAATGTTACATTTTAAAAGGCTGGCATTAGTCTGGTTCATCATAGAAGCAGACCTGAGGAGGAAAATCAGACATTCAAAACCAGTCATTCAGTTTCCACTGAATGAATCGGTGGGAAATGTTGAAATAGACACAGCTTTCAACAACAGGCCGCTGCTGTCAGGTTTGATCTGGCAGTCTGGCGCCCCCTAGCGGTGGTAGATAAACTAATCTACGTAAACATCGGTGCTTTCGTTTTTAACCAGACAGGAAAGAAGCAGCTGACGGTGAGTACAGCCGCTTA